GATAAAATTTTTCTTCTGATTATTGGTAAAGTATAAAGTAATACCTCCTGCTTGGGGCAAACTCATGAAAAAGATCACACCTGGTCAGAGAGTATTAATTTCTAATTAACATTCATTAAAAATTGCAACATCCTGTAAAACTTAAATCGCAAGGCCTTTTGAATTCACTAGATAAGTAATACACGAGTTTAAGAAAAAAAGGGCTTTCTTTTTACCTGTAAAACACATGTACTGAAGTAAATAAACCTTATTAAAGTGCTTCTTGTATGCCATGTCTTTAATTTTGTCAAAAATTATTTAAATTTAATTGAAATAATTTTTTTCTGCAACTTTGGAACACATTTCCTTTTTTAAATGGTTATCAAGGATTGCTATGGAAGTTCTATTATCATGATTATATTAAATTCTTGGTTTTACAAAACAAAGGTGTGATTTTTAAAATTTATTAAGTTGCTTTAAATACTATTTTAAATATAATAAAAAAAATGTTCACTGCATTATTAACTACTCAACTGACACCATAAATCTATACAAGGCTTAAGTAAGTGGTGAAAATTGTCCCGTAACCATAAAATATATCTGAAACATTCAAAAAAATTTGAATAACATTGAAAATATTAGTCACAATTCAGTTTTGAGATTAATTGATCAGCTTGTTTTATTTTTATTTTAAAGGTGATATATGTAAGTGTTGATAAATATGGTGTTGAATTTATATTATGTTTATTGTGAAATTTTGGTTTCAATGCCATATTGAATACATTTTAAATTTCGAATTGTTGTTCAAATTTCTAGCCAGGGGAAATAGCTGTTAAAAACAGTTCCTAAATTGATGAAATACAATAGATAGATACAAAAATTAGGTCTAGGTTGGTTAAGACTTAGTCGAGTATGGTTCAGACTAGGTCGAGTATGGTTCAGACTAGGTCGAGCATGGTTCAGACTAGGTCGAGCATGGTTCAGACGAAAATAAAATGGTTAAGTACTGGTCGAGTACAAGTTCAGACTGTTAAGTATGGTTCAGACTACAGTCGAGTATTATCAAGTAAATTTCAGACCAGTTCAGACTGGTCGAGTAAAAATCAGTACAGTCGAGTACCAATATAGGCCATTTCAGACTTTTACTAGTTTGTAGTGTACAGGTTTTACTAGCTTTAACAAATTTTCACAGACATCATGTTATTTTCCCCATGAAATATACTGGTAAAACTATTTAAATCCTCAACAAGCACTAATTGCTTTTCTGATGCCACACTTCTTGGTCAAAGATTGGCCTCTTGGGGCTATTAAAATATCATTTCCCCTTAAAAACTTAGAGATAGACAGTTATAACTAGATATAGAACCTTTAATTATGACTTGAAGTTATTTATAATTTGAATCTTAATCAAAAGCAATTACATATATTCCTTAAATAATTGTAAGTACTAAGTTTTTTGAAGTTGTATAAAATAATTTATTAAAGTAATATTTTTGTCTTTATTTTTTAAAGAAACCTCTCTATACTCATCTAAAATTGGATAAATACTTAATTTCATTTAATGAAATGATATCAAAATTCTTAAAAACTACATTTAGTCCATGCTTTATTTGACATTTAAAATAACTATCAAGTTATTAAATAATTTCTAAAAACAAAAAATACTTATAAAAGTGATTTAAAAAATTACTTGTTTAATATCGCCACCTGACTGTTGTTTGTGTCTTGATAACTTTTATGTAGCATATTATATAATATAAACTTTTTTTAAATCATATCATCTAATTATAAAATTTGAGAATTTTTTTATAATAAAAAGGGGAATGATTATTAAATATAATAAGAAAATATTTAAATGACTTTTACTTTTTGTGGAGACTTGAGATTTCTTTCCAAGCATTACAGAGCACTGTTGAAGAATTTCTAATCTTTTTTATAGTTTTGTAAAATTTCATGCAAAATGTATTTAAATAGACCAGATGTTTACACAGGTGTTTATGGAGCTTCCTCTATAATACTTTCCTTATCATAGAAGTGGTGTAGATTTGATTGACATCTTAATGGATCATGATAATTATTGTCACATTAACTGCTGAGAAGAGCCTACTTAAAAAGCTCCGAGCATCCTCCGAGCATGCTCGGAGCTTGCTCGTAAGAATAAATCTATGATCCCTTAAAGGCGTTACGGTGACCTATAGTTATTCATTTCTATTTCATTTTGTCAATCGGATTTTAGATTTATATTTTCTCTATTATTCAAAACAAAGATTTGATAAGGGTTCTAAGACGATCACAAGTTCTTAAGCTTATATTTGATACCAAAATTACCCAAATTATTTACTTATTGACAGACTTGCAACTACGCTATGGAACTATTTTATTCAAAAGACGTGCTACTTACTCGTATGTTCTTTCTATGTTCACCAAACTAGTCTCATCTTATGTTCAAATCAACAACGCATGTACGGTCTTCCCAACCGGAATATTTTTCTGCTATTTTTTTTCATTTATTTCCATTGCATTAACTCCTAAAGATTTATTGCAATTAATGTTTTGCAATTTATTTTTTTAAATACTCTTAAATGATTTGTTAAGATAATACTTACGAGAATATGGAATCTGTTTGATCCTTTGTGATTGAAACCTCTGAATTAGATAAAAAAAACCAACCACATGATAATTTGCCAATAGTTATATACTAATTTGTGAAGATGAACAAGTTTTATGGTTACTTATCGATAGAAATGGTGGCAAGTTTACACGTGACACTACGATGCACATGTGCAGCAATGAAAAATGGACCACGTTTCGTTTTATGACATTGTTTTTGACTCTATATTGATTAATTACATAGTATAAATTTAACCAGAATTTTTGAAATCAAACACTGTCATTATTTTGTTATTAATACTTGTGTAGACGAAAAATGTCTTTTTAGTATTTTCATCATTCATTTAACCTCCAGTTTTCATTTTTATATACATCCTTGACTCTCAAATGTATGTCTGTCGTTTAACATTCCTAATTAAGGTAAATCAAGAAAAGCGCTTTGGACGCACATGATTTTTACTGTTATCGCCTTCAATATTCTTTTACGAGGCTTTCAAAAAGAATATCTCAGAACTTTATTCAGGTTGAATTATTCAGACTGATTAGAACCGAAATAGAATAGTTTTATAACTTTTTGTAACGTATTATATTGCTGTAATATGGACGGATATGGGGCGTTGTTGAAGTATGTTAACATCTAGTATAATGAAAACAACATTGGATATAGGAAGATTTGTTATCTTGCTTTACTGTACGATTTGATATATTCTTACATTGTATATAACAATTACAAAAGATCTGCTTTTGCCATGTAAATCAAGCAACACTTATAAGAACGTCGAAACATGTTGATGTAAAATAAATAATATATTGATTCTTCTGTTCTTCTAAAGTGTTGTGTCCCCACTGATTATTTTGAATTCATTGTTTAATTAGTACACATTGCATACATTTGGCTACGATCTCAATTGAGTCCCACAAACGTTACTTAACTAGGCGTTGGTTCACAGTTTTTTTTTTTTTTTTTTTTAAATTTAATTAAATTATTAAATTTTAATTATCAGATATGTACCCAGCATAGCATATACATCATTATTTGCATAATATAGGTGCATTAATATGTAGCGAGTAGGCAGATATTAGAATGATAACTTATTTCCAAATAGATATCAAACACGCTAAAAATAACAGTACAGAAAAGAACACAATCTTAAATCACGCCAAAAATATTTCTTTTCTAGTGTTTTTTTACACACTTCTTTCAATTCTAAAGACGATTTATTCTTTTCGAGACCTTTTCAAATTTTTATTCTCATAAAAAAATGGGTTACCTGCACTCCTAACTTCCGGATAAGAGAATGAACTATTATATGAACTGGCATCTATTTTCTTTTGTATGTCACCTTGACTTTGGTTTCCATTTTGATTTGTTTTCATAACAAAATCTGTAACTGTTACAGTTTCGTCTAAAATAGACCAAGTGATAGGAACTTTCAAAATGCATTAAATGAAATGAAATTGAAAGAGTGATGCGTAACTTTATTTTAACCTCTAGGTTAAAATGACTTTACTACATTTTTTACAATGAAACATGAGAATTAGTCAAGAGTATTACCTACCAAAACTTTTAACTGAAATTCTGATTATGTGAAGGAAAATATTATAGAAATATAAGTGACATTTGGTCACATTACGCAGCTGAAGTTAACGAAAGAAAAATTTTCTAACAAGAGATGATGCATATCTCATAGAAAGCATTCTTATATTTAATCAAACGAACACAGAGTGAGAACAATAAACATTTGAAAATTCACTCTAATATCTTACGCAATTGTGACCGGAAACAATTTCATGCAATTTTTTTGGAGTTTCCATATGTCCTTTGTGTAAGCTTTATGTCCGTTAAAAGAGATAACAAGCAAAGGTAATGGCAATATAAGGTGACAAGAAAAAAACTTCCAGATACCTGAACCTGACACACTTTATTAAACTATGCGCTGGTTCACAAGTTTTTTTTTACTGTGGATTCATTTATTTTCGTGGGTACCAATTTTCGTGGATTTAGGAAAACTTACATTTTATGTATTTATAATATCGTGGTTTGGCCGAAGTCTGCATACAAGCCTATAAAAAATTTGTTATTCGTTGAACATTGAATTTCGTAAATCCCCTGTGTACCCACGAAATCCACAAAAATTGGCATTCAACGAATAATATTGAATCCACAGTAAATTTAATTTAGTACTTATATTTGATTATAAGATAGGTACCAAGCATGACGCATACAACATTACTTGCATAATACAAGTACATTTATATATGGCGAGTAGGCAGATATTAAAACGATATCTTATCTCCAAATAGATCTAAACACACAAGAAAAGAAAGCAAGCTTAAATAAGGCCCAAAATATTTCTTTTCTACAACTTTTCTTTCAATTATAAATATGACATTATTGTTTTCAAGACCTTTTAATTCTTGTTCAAAAATGTGTTACCTGCATTCCCAACTTCCGCATTAGAGAATGAACAGTCACGTGAACTTGCATCTATTTTCGTTAGTATGTCACCTTGGCTATGGTTTCCATAATGATTTGTGTTCATAAAAAAATCTATTACTGTTGCAGTTTCGTCTAAAATAGACCAAGTGATAGAAACTTTCAAAAACATTCAATGAAATAAAAGTGAAAGAGTCATGAGTAGGTTTATTTTAACATCTAGTTTAAAATGACTTAATTACACATTTTACAATGAAACATGAGAATTAGTCAAGAGTGTTATCTAACAAAACTTTTAACTGAAATTCTGATTATGTGAAGAAATATGATAACAAGCATTCTGAGAGTATTGCATGACAATACATAGTCCCCTGCCGGTTAAAAATCAATTGTACTGGAACAAAATGCTAACTTGATCTATAAATTGTCATGGTGTAAACTATATAACAAATATCAAGTAAATACCTTCAAGCATGACGTAAAAAGTGTGGAAACTGATTATTTAAGTGAACTTTCTAAGTTCAAGAACCATAACTCTACACAATATCATCAGATCTGAAAAAACTTGAACTTGATCTGTAAATTGTTATGGTAAACTATATACCAATTATCCAATCAATATCTTCAAGCATGAAGAATAAAAGTGAGGAAAACTGATTATTTGAATGAATTTTCGAAGTCCAAAAACCATAACTCTGCACAAAATCATCAGACCGGAACAAAATTTGTACTTGATCTGTAACTTGTTATGATAAAACTATATACCAATTATCAAATAAATATCTTCAAGTATGACAAAAAAAAGTGAGAAAAACTGACTATTTGAGTGAATTTTCTAAGTCCAATGACCATAGGTCTGCACAAAACCATTAAACTGAAACAATTTTCAAACTTGATCTGTAACTTGTCATGATAAAACAATACACCAAATATCAAATCAATATCTTCAAGCACGACGAAAAAAAGTGGGGGGCAATTATTTGCTGGACAGACAGACAGACAACAGACAGACAGACAGACAGACAGACAGACAGACAGACAGACAGACATACGACGGAGTGCAAACTGAAGCTGAAGACGTATGAACTTTTTTCAAACAAGAGATGATACATTTCTCATAGAGAGCATTCTAATATGCGATTAAACGAAAACAGAGTGAGAACAATAAACATTGGAAATTTCACTCTAAAATCTTTAGCAATTGTGACCGGAAACAATTTCATGCAACTTAAGTTAACAAACAATAACATCGCCTCATTACATTTTTCGAGTTTCTACATGTCTGTTTGTGTATCTTTATGTCCGTCAAAAGAGATAACAAGCAAAGGAACTGCATATATAAGGGGACAAGAAAAATCTTCAAGTTAAAGAAAATGGATTCTTATATATGAAAAGCTGTAGTAGGACATTCAACTGTTTACTATTGCGTTCGACATTATCAACAGAAGTTTGTTTGCATTTCCATTATATAAATGGACTCATCTGAGATACAACATATCTAAATATTTGTTTCCTCGATTGTGATATAACAGAATGAAACTTATCCTCGTATTTGAACTTGTGATGAATACCACATGTGTAGTCTATTAATTCTTCCACGGCACCTACGATAGCCCTCTTTTTTTTGGTTGGGTTATAAACTTTGCTCGGTATTTTGTACTATATATAGTTTTTTTGTAGACTACTGTTTGTCTTTAGTTAAATTTGGCATTTTTTACAGCTATGATTTCTTTATAACAGAACACCATCTTCATTTCAAATATATTTCTTTTGCATTTGTGTCAATTCTTAAATAAAGGCAACAGTAGTATACCGCTGTTCTAAACTCATAAATCGATAGAAATAAAAACAAATCCGGTTTGCAAACTAAAACTGAGGGAAACGCATCAAATATAAGAGGAGAACAACGACACAACATTAAAATGTAACACACACAGAAACGAACTATAATATAACAATGGCCATTTTCCTGACTTGGTACAGGACATTTTAAGAAAAAAAATGGTGGGTTGAACCTGGTTTTGTGGCATGCCAAACCTCCCGCTTTTATGGCAACGTCAAACACAACACCAAAACGACAACATCACATGACAGGACCACAATACAAATAAATGGGAGAACATATAGGACAAAGAAACACACGAATAATAGCTAACAAAAGGTACTAGGCTTAAAATTCAATACGCCAGACGTGTGTCTCGTCCACACAAGACCAACCAGTGACGCTCAGATGAAAAAATTTTGAAAGCCAAAACAAGTACAAAGCTGAAGAGTACCGAGGACCAAAACTTCCAAAAAGTTGCGCCTAACACGGCCAGGGTTTTCTGCCTGTGACAAGACCATCCTTATTATTTAGAATAATTTATAATTTAGCAAACAGTAAATTTTATAAAATGACTATTTAATAGATATACATGATAAAACCGAAATGGGGACTAACTTCAGAATAAAAACGGATACATTACATAAAACAACTTAAGCCAACACATAAAAAAACACAGCCGAGTTAGCCAAAGCCCCAACGCACAAAGTGACGTCACATTTGAAATTCTAAAAAAACACACAAAGTAAGTTAAGTAAGTATCTTTTTAATCAAAATAAAGCCAGTGATACCAAATACTTACCTTCAGTTAAAGGACTTTCAAATGTAAGTAAAATATGAATTGGATCCTCTTTGCTTGCATCTGCTTCTGCTGCAACTACAATTGCCTTCACTAAGGTAAGAATCGCCATTCTCATTGCTTCTGCATTTTCGAAAATTCCTGCAGGTACTTCAAGGTCAAGTTCAATGCTATTGGCCTTTGTGGCCTTAACATGCATAATCTGTCTCTTTCCGTTTCTTTGTTCGTTTTCCTCAGACGTTACATCTATTTCTGAAGGCAGGGTTCGAATTACGTTGTCCTCATTCGTTTTCGTCATGGACGCTTGTGTGATTTTACTTTTCATTGCTATTTTCCTTTGATCAGCTACAAACAGAAACAAAAATGCATGGAATATTGTTCTTCAATCATTGTATCCATATGATTTGGTAGTATCTTGGTACGTTAGGTAACAAAACAAAAGTATGCGTTTCCTTTTTCTTTGAAAAAGAACACATTGTATAAAAGGTATCTTCTTTTGGTAAGTAGAGAAATTAGATAACTTTGTTTTTCAAACATCAATCAAAGTCTTACCTTTCTCAATGTCAGGTTCTGTACGTATATCTGATAAACAGGCTCCAGCAAACACAGGATGACTGCCAAGAAACTGTTCTAAGCGGCCTGTAAATACGTGTTGGCTATTAATTTGAATTCAAAATTTCTAAAACAATACTTGAAAAAAAATATATTTTAGTCATGTACGTCTGTATTTGTTGAAAAAAAAATCTTTTGCAAGTGCGACGTTGTATTTGATTGTCTCTTCGTTTTCCAAAACAAAATGAAAGCATGGAAAGATCTAAAATGTTATTTTGAAATACACTGAATAACTCCAGAAACCCTATTATAAGGAAACTATTATAGGTTTCACCAGAGCATATAGAGAGAAATTATTTGTCTAATCAAAACATACAACACATTGATCAAAACTGAAAATGACAGCAGTAAGTGGTAGTGGTAAGCAGTTTTCTCACGAGGAATATGCACATTGGCAAATGTGACAGACACTCTATAACGATGAATCAAATCATGAGTGATGAATTACTTTTAAATCTTAAAACCTATGATAAATAACTTCTTTGTAACAATTAAAGTGAAAATAACACTTTATCGTGCGATAGAAATGCTTTACTAAATTTACATTTATTGAACTTTCAACCAAAAAATTGAAAGCTAATGATACATGTGATTTATAGTGTATTTAAAAACAAATACCCATCAAAGATACGGATAACATCTTGTTTGAGATATGTCTTATTACTAGTGGGAGGTTAAACTAGCTATTAAACCACTTCTAACCCACCATTGTCTTCAAGAAAAGCCTATACCAAGTTAGGAACTAGCTGGTTTTTACTTGTTTCGTTCATTGAAAGAGTTTGATTTGTCATTTTGTATGGACTTCCCCTTTTTGAATTTGCCTTGGAGTTCGGTATTTTTGTTATACTTTAACAAAGTAACAACACGGCAAGCAAGGGATCAAAATCAGTTCCAAAAAGTAAAATCACAAAAATACCGAATTCTAAGGAAAATTCAAAACGGAAAGTCCCTAATCAAATGGCAAAATCACAAGCCAAAACACATCAAACGAATGGATAACAACTGTCATATTCCTGACTTGGTACAGTCATTTTCTTATGTAGAAAATGGTGGATTAAACCTGGTTTTATAGCTAGCTAAACCTCTCACTTGTATGACAGTCGCATAAAATTCCATTATATTGACAACGATGTGTGAACAAAACAAACACACACATTAGGTAAAAAATGACAAAAATTTGGGTACAGGAGTCAACATGTAATAATATTTATCACTATAAAAACAAACAAATATGTAACAAAGAATCACAGAAAGGCATATAGACAAAGCACATTAGAAAAATGAAAGACAAGAATACCAAAAAAATTTACCATAACACAATGACGGGATGTATAAGTACAGAGCCACGCCATATGTAACAAAGAAACACAAAAAGGCATATAGACAAAGCACATTAGCAAAAATGAAAGACAAGAATACTAAATTATACCACAACACAATAGATATACAGATTGACTGTTTAAAAAAAACATAACTCTGACACATGTTACAAATGTGATGTAAAAAATACAAATCCAGCAACTTGATGGTGTTTGTCTTAGTGAACAATTTGTCTGATTTGTCTCTTACTAAACATGCTAAAGCAAGATATTTGTTTCTGCTTTGGAACGTCTTCTTTTATAAAACAACGTTGGACTCAAAGTATCCACACCTGATGGACACTGCGCAAAGTACCAATTCTTCAAAAAAAAAAACGATTTTTTTATTTACTTGATAAGAAAAAAGAACAAAGTAACCTTGTTTGATTATTAATGATTTAATCATATACATTATTTTTTAACCATCAAATATATCTTCATCTCAGAAATACTTTAAACCTGTTATTATGGCAAAATTCAGTTGACATAAAGTTCAAGTATTGCAAAAGAATTAGCGTATCCTATACAGTGTATACTTTAAACCTAATTAGTGTCGACATAATAGACACTATGTTTAACATGTTTAAACGATTACGCTTGTTGTGGAAACCCTTGTGTAAGCATTTCAGAATTGTTGATTGGTCTTCTTCTTTTTTGGAACATATGATAATCCAATACCGCTTATTTTCGTTCTTATTTTACATTTTTGTTTTAATATGTAATAAAATTGAGAATTGAATTATACAAGTTTCAAACAACCACCAACAATAACGGCTAACTGGTACGATGGCAATTGAATGTTAATGTAGACCATAAAAGTTAAAAAGTGTTAATTGTTGTTCAGCGTATTTTAGTTGTACAATTTATAGTGTTACAAGTAACACTTACTAAATATGATTGTAGAGCAGGGTAGCCTATAAGACTGTTGAAAAGTGAAAAATTGATAACAAAGACCATGAAAAACACAAATGTTTAATTGGTCCACAAAAGTTTGTACAAATTGTAGATTTAGTCAAACACACACACACACACACACACACACACCAAAACTATATCTTATGTTTGGGAAACTAAAAACTCAAATGCCGTCCATCAACCAATAATATATTGATCATTTTCTAAGTGCAGATAAATGTAGAAAAATTCTGACGGGACATTACCGTGATAAAAAAAACGAATGGACAAGTCAATGAATTATGCATTCTAACACGAATATTTTAAATTATGTTTTTGCCTAAAGAAGGTTCTTTTGAACCTCATTTAAATAGAATTAAAATCAGAGCTAAAATTCAGTAGCACTTTATATCTATACATTATTTTAATTACTGTTTATAAAGCACTCGTTATTATATTAAGACGATATATATATAAATGTACATATAAATGTAACAATAACAGCTGCCAGGTCCTTCCTTCGAATGTGATTGTTTTTCTGTTTTCTATTTGATTGTAATTGTGTAATATAACACATTAATGCAGGTTAAACATGTATGACTTACCTATAATTCTTTCCTCGAACTTCTCCATTTGATCTACAAAGACAAAACAAAGATATAACATGATTGGCATGTAAATTATTTAAAATGATTCATTTTCTTGTAAAACAAAGTAATCTCAAGAATATGAATGTTAAAAGTACAACAATGTATGTTCAATGTCATAAGCAGCATTATGGGAACTTCTTTTCCGTTTAATCCAACCTCGTTTCTCTTCTGTATTTCTTTTTGGTGGGACGTGGGAAGAGGGCTTGTTAAATTTAATATTATTTGTCAACATCAATAATTCTTTATTTTTAGAGGGTTACACAGGTAGCTTTACTTATTTTCCCTCAGGCCCTCATCATAGAAAGACATAAACATATACATAGCATACACTTGTATAAACGTCAATTATAAATATAGCGTTCAATGCATTTGCGTAAACAGGATAAAATAAAAAATATTCAATATTTTATTCAATTATTTGATTTGATATTTGAAAGAATTGACAATAGTAGTTTTTCATAACGATATAGGCAAATTGTTCCACAAGCATGGTCCAGAATACATAACAGATTTCTTGAACCTTTCGATTTTTGGTTAAGGGAGTAAGAGGATTTACTCAAGATCATTTCGCAAGGAGTATCTAAAACATAATGCAACATGCTGATAAGATATGGTTGGGCATCATTTTTGAGCGAAAGGGTCTGTTTCTAATACTAATCTCTCTTTTGTAACTTTAAATATATAATTAAACCCTCACTGCTACAACTATTCCCCACTAAACAACAATAATCAATTAGTGATAAGATATAACCATTATAAAGAGTTTAATGCATTCTAAATTTTGAAATTTTGAAAATGTAATAATGAAAACCTTACAGTCTGGTACACAGTAACTAAATCTAAAACAAAAATGGACTTTAATGGAGAGCAAGCTTTTGTTAGCCTGTTTTTTTCTCATGTTGGCCCGGTACGTAATTAAAATTTGAATGTGAATTTGCATGGCGGGTGTGGCTTGTATGACAAAAAAAGCTTCTCTGTCGACGCTCCCGATCTCCCTCCGTTTTGAGTTCATGCGATTCCCTAAGTCTTTTTCATTGATTTATGAAATTTGAACATCGGTAAACTTCTGTTGCCTAAATCTATTTTTGGTGAACATATATAAAGTTTTGGTTTTGAGTTGTGCATGCCTTGTGCTATTGATTTATACCCTGCAATTTCATCTATTTTTATCTTTTTGTTTGTGGATGAACATCTATTTATATCGTTGTGGTTTCATCTTCATCTTGATCATCACTAATTGATGAATGAAAACCTCGCAAAACGTCTTAATATATGCGGTATTCCCCTCTGTAGTGCGAAATCTATTTTGGGTTTGGAATGGGATATAATAGTCCTGCCTAAATTAACATCATATGTGAGACTGCAAAATGATCATCTGTGATTTAAGAAACATACATATTGTTTTATATCACAAATAAAAAGCATACTCAGATATGCGCATATAAGCTCTTGTCTTTGTGTTGATTCTTACGATTGATTTGTATTTATTTGATTATGATTGTGCATAAATTAAATGATCCTCTTCTAAAAAGTCTTCAATCATCCCCAAGCATGCCTAAGAGAAGCTCACAAGAATCAGTATGCATTGTATCTTAATTTACGTGTTCTTTGAAATCTACATCACGGAAAGAAATAGGATGTGGTATCTATATATTCAAAAATAAGGAAATGTGGTATGATTGCCAATGACAAAACTATCCATCAAGTTCAAATGATGTGGATGTAAGAAATTATATGCAACCATTAGGCCTTCATCAATGAGAAAAATCAATACGGCTATAAACGGCTCCAACATGAAATATATGAAACAATTTAATTGAAAAAAACTAACGGCCAAAAATGTATAACAAAACAATTTACGAAAAACAAATATGACAGACATGAACCAGCGACAACCACTTAACTACATGCTCCTGACTTGGGACAGACGTTAGTTAGTTTTATGAGTTGTACAGAACAGCGAAAAGTTAAAACTGTATCTTTATATCAATGATATAACTAACTTATGGTATTACTCAATTTTCAATAGTAATATCATGAATATTACATGTATTACTGGCATAATAATTTTTAGTAAAATATAGATTACTTCTCTGTTATCGAAGACGTCAATAAAGGTAG